AGCACTTCTTCTTTTCGGAGTGCTACTTTTTGTGAAATCCGTGGCAGATATATCATTCAACTTAGTGCACGGATAGGTGATCAATCATCAAAACGAAGATCACAGTTGATAAGTGGTCAACGTCCTTGACGTTATGACGACGTTCGTTGACAAAGCTCTGATATGTGTGTACTCTGGACCCATTCGACTCCACCCCCATTCCTCCGCCTCCCTAACTGCAAACGAATTCATATAAAAGCGCGTGGTCACTATGCTGCTCACTTGCATTTAGCACGTGGTTAGCCGCTGAACTGCTTCATATCTATCTGACTGTGATTTTCACGAGTTATCAACACCCAACTGTTTGAGGGGTCATCAGTCATGTATTGTGAACACGAGGCTTCAACAAGCTCAATGGAAGAATCAGAGGTAAATGTTTGAGTTAAAGTGATGTAGTGGCTTTCAGTTCTATTCATGCTACTATAGACAGCTATCTTATAACTGAGAAATCTTTTCAAAATACACTTAAGAGAACTGTGGTGGCTACAGTCTTGTCAAAAACAGTAAAAGTGGAGGCATCCAACCAAAAGTTGGTCTCAAGGTGTTGCTTGAGCACGCGGGATTCACTAAGCAGCCATGAGAAACGAGAAGAGTGAAAAAAAAAGTTTACTTTTGTTTTCTCGCGATATTCGACATTAGGATTCCGACTGCATTGAGATATCCTTTCCTGCAAAAATCTCTTCAAATTACATGACATAGGCGATCATTTTCTCTATATGAAGATTTCAGACCGTTGAACCAGTTATTGCACAAGCTGTAGCTCAACAGGCTCTGATTAATCGACTTCACAACTGGCTTGCACAATTTTTTTGGATTACGATATTCTATATAATCGACATCTGTGGCGATGAGAAGTTGCGTAGCACCATCTCGGAAATTCAACAATTGAACCAGCAACAGAGCACATCGGAGAATCGCAGAAGTATAGCCGAAATCGAGGCCAAGGTTGATTTTCATCTGCAATAGCTGATATTGATAACTTATCTTTTAGCACAAAATTTATTTATAGGAACTATATGAGAGCTTTCGAGCATTACGAGAGTCACATAGTCACTAACTAAAAAGCCGTCTTTTGAAACGTGGCAATGGTCACTCTTGTAGCAAAAAGTAAAACACGATTGCAAAATTATCAATGATAATAAGTGATATGGCGGCTGTACAATGTGAAATCACTGTAGTTCTCATTTGAAAGGGCGCCTTTTACCTAACCTCATCATGGATAATATCACTTTCTCAAGCACAACGGTTGGAGATTTCGTCTATTTAAGAGCTTAAACATAGTATGCTACCATGTAATATTATTCGAATAATATTTCCTTGTGTTACTGATAATCTAAACAAGAACGAATTCAAGTCTACCCATTGAGAAAGGTCTTCCGTTTGACTCCTAAAATGGGATAAGATCAAACCTTACTCAGATCACAAAACCAATCAGAGGAAAGGCTCTAAATACTCCAGTTGTATATTTTGAAAAGTTCATGCTTTTGCAATTCAATAGGCAAGACAATACTTTCTGTACGGTGCATTTGATCAATGCGAATCTGGTTCAAAGAAGAGTGCATCAGACTGAGACGATTCATGTCTATGAAAGTTATGCAGCGCTCCTTTGTTTGCTATCATAACTGACCCCTTTTGACGCTCATCACACTGATCACTGCCTTAACACTACTCATCTGACAACAGATGTTTTTGCAAAGTTCTCGAACAATTTTTTCAGGTATTCCGTCACCTTACCTCGTCATTGTGGGCAAATTTGCGACCGGTAACGCGTTTCTACGAAAAAAACGACCGGCATCACGACCACCTTCACCTCAACTTTTCGATATTCAGGAAGAAAAAGAAGAATGTTAATGACTTTCCATTCAATCAACGGGTTCTATTTCTCAATCAAATCAGGAATCATGACGCTTTCGAGTGCGATTTGCGCTTTCGGACATGACTCATAACATGGACCACTAATATTTCTCATTGAAGAATTGCTCATGTAAATACCATATTCAATCTATAATTTCTATTTTCTTGTGTGATATTTATTTCTATTATACAGTATTTTATAAAGAAATATGAAAGTGTACGCATGTGACGTTAATAAATTCCATGTGGAAAATTCACATTCAATGTGTACATCCTTTGTATATAGATTTATATTGAGCTTGAAATTTATCTGACCGGAAATGCTTAACTAGATTTCAGATTTTGAGTTAGATTGAAAAGATTGAACTTAAACTGGATTTTTTTTTGTGTAGAATTTGTTTAAAACATGGCTCGCATTGTGTAGCGTGTAGCGCCTTAGCTGCTGAATGGAGTGTTGCAGGTACCAACGAGCTGAATTTGTTCTTGCAACTCGTCCGATCTACCAAGAGCTGAGCTCTCGACAACACATTTTAGTGCGATGCCAGATAGATGCATTGCCGCCCTGAGTGCACTCATGAAATTGTCTATGAACCTGAGCTTCGCCATCACATTGGTTGCATTCAAGTACTGGCGTGTTGGAACGTTTTCGTAGTCATAAAGGTCCTCAATACAAATGGTTAATTTTCTGATAGTAGTTTAGGTGGTGCTTAAGTGTCCGCTAGCTGCTCACAATGGGAATACATCTCAGATAATCACCCACCATGAGAAGAATTTCAACCTTCTTCTCAGGCAATCCAGCTAGAGTGAACATGCGACGATATGTAACATACGCTGCTATGCGCAGCCAGATTTTTGCTCAAAATGCAAAAATTAAGGCTCTGTAAAGACGTGTGATGCTCATGGCGTTTACCTGAGGAACTGGAGTTCGTTAAATACTTCTAGCATGAAAAAGCGTATTCTCTCTCGTCGAGATACTCAATGATAGAAGTAGCTCTAAGTGGAACTTATAGGTAATCTAGTATTGAATTCTGATTCAGCACCAATCAACTGCTAAATACACTAAGTCTTACGGTCCAATCAGCAAGCGTTTATTAGAGAAGTTAGAGGACAGCGTTAGTTGGAGGACATCGGAAGTGTTCACGTCAAATTTTCATGTTCTTCACACACCAATGATGTATTCACCTCTCTCACCCACTTGAATTTTCTCTTGTTTTAGTGTTCTTCAAATGAGTAGACACGAATTTGTCATAACACTGTTTGTGCACATGCAATGCTGATGTTTCGGCGCTTTCGCGACCTTCAGATCCTCAAAAGGTCGCATAGACACGCAGCCTACTCAGCAAACTCTTTCGCGGTCTCGGCAGAAGAAAAACAATACATAATTTTCAACACCAACTTCCAGTTAACCTCGACGAAGACTTACCGTGCCTCTTATTCAACAGCTGACATTTCGTCTACATAGCCTTCTCTTAAGCCTGGACATATGTTATGTAACACTAATCGTATGACTCGATGGATTATTGATTACATTTGGACCTACTCCCTGGATTAGGTCAGAAATCGAACGTAAGCTCCAAGTTTCTAAGAGGATTGAGTGGCAGGCAAAAACGCGAACTCGGGCAGGAGTCGAACCCGCGTTTCATCCTATCCGGGGACGACACATTTGGTCGACCACTCATTCTTCAGCATCTCTATATTAGCTATCAGCCACCAACCTTTATGAGGTTTGGTCGGGTATGCGATTTGAACCCAGTTGAGCTGACAGCCGCTGTTAGATCTGACACTCCGAAATTCTCGTATTTTTATTGCTTTGTTTCTTAGGAATATATGTAACATCAGGAAACAGAATCGGTTATAGAGGCTCTGGATAACCAGGGCGTCCCTACTCGGTACATAATGATTTTCGTGAGCTTTATAAAGAATTCACGACCAGAATCTCTCCATTCTACAACAATATCACCATTGACGTAAGAAGAGGGGTTCGACAAGGCGATACAATATCGCCAAAACTATTCACTGCCACCCTATAAAACGTCATGCGAACATTAGAATGGGACGAAATGGGAGTGAAAATTGACGGTCGACAATTAAACCATCTTCGCTTTGCTGACGATAACGTTCTCATAACACCAAACATCAGCCAAGCGGAACGAATGTTGACTGATTTCGATAACGCCTGTGGAAAGATCGGTCTTCAACTGAATCTAACGAAAACAATGTTCATGAGGAACGGATGGGTTTCTAATGCCCCAATCACGCTTAACGGAACGACAATTTCCGAATGCTCCAGTTACATCTATCTAGGTCGTGAAATCAACATGATGAACGACCTAGCCCCAGAGTTGAGCAGGAGGAAACGAGCGGCTTGGGGAACGTTTAAGAGCATCGAAGATGTAGTGAAGAGGACAAAGAACATCCGACTCCGTGCCCACCTTTTCGACTCGACAATTATCCCTGCCCTAACGTATGCAGCAGAAACCTGGTCGCTACGTAAGCAGGATGAAAGATCACATGGAGTTATCGAACGCGCAGTCGAAAGGTCGATGCTAGGAGTATTCCGTATTTCGCAAATGAGAGAAAGGATCCGAAGTTCCGACCTACGTCATCGATCGAAAATCAGAGACGCCGTTCTACACGCCAGGATATCGAAAATAAGGTGGGCCGGACGCGTGATGCGCTTCAACGACAACCGATGGACGAGAGCCGTTACCGACTGGATTCCTCGGGACGTCAAGCGCTCTGAAGGAAGACCACTGACCCGTTGGTCCGATTTCTTCACGAAAGCGATAGAAGAAAGATATGATGCTCAGCGAATCCTAGAGCGAGGAGTACCCACTGGGCTACTTTTGCACGCGATAGGGAAAAATGGAAGAGTTGCTGGTACCCGCTCGAGTTACTCGACGATCAACGGGACGACAGATGACAGGTGACATAACACTGCGAAAAAAAAACAGTAAAAAACTAGAATTTTGGAGTATCACATCTAACAGCGACTGTCAGCTTATCTGGGTTTTTGAAGCGAAATTACATGCCCGACCAAACTTGTTAGAGGTTGGTGGCCGATATCTAACATAGAAATGTTGACGATTGAGTGGTTGGGCAAATGTGCCTCGGTGGTGTAGTGGTAGAGCAAGCGTCCCAGGATAGGATGAAACGCGGGCTCGATTCCTGCCAGAGGCCGTTTTTTGCCCATCACTCAGTTGTTTTAGCAATATATGTAACGTCAACTCTGCGGAAAAAAGCCGTAAAAATACTAGAATTTCGGAGTAATAGCTCCAAGTTTCATCACGTGATGGTGACGCTTTTGTCCTTACGCTCACTTTTTGATTTTCATCGTTTATTCGAAACGCAGCAAGAGCTTTGCGCGATATTCCTTTGACTAATGTTCGAAGATCGTGACAGTCACTTCAAAATCATTAGTATTGCACTTTTCCGCTCAATGTGTAGTTGTAAAGAAGTGCTTTTTCAAGTTTCAACTTCCACCTGGATGTTCCTCCACGTGGGTCTTTTATTCAGCAACGTATTTTTCACGCCATAGTACCTTACACTATAAAAATATTGGATCTTTGACCAAGTTTTCAAACTTGATCCAAAAATTTAAAAATTTATTTTTCCAAGTGATCAAAAGTATCAAATAACATAAAATGAAATATTCTCCGTCTGCCTGGATGCAATTCTGCCAACTCTTCGGCAACAAAACAATTCCGCGCTCATAAAACTCCTTATTCTTTGGTGCAAAACCAACCAGTCAAATTTCGACGCAAATGATTGATGTCCCAAAACTTCTTCTTGCCCAACCAGTGCTCCATAGATCTGAAAAGATGGAAATCGGACGGAGACAGAGGTATGGCTAATGCGGCGATGATTCAAGTGCTCCCAGCCCAAAGCGGCCTTTGCACCACTGATGTTTTCAAATGCAGTTTTTAAAATTGTGCCCAATTGAAACTCGTAAAGCAATAAGTTGCGAATGACTTTCCGTGACAGCTGCATTGTTGGACAAGTGTATCTGCAAAAATGTACTGAACGATGCGCAAGAAAATTCTGCACAAAATAGGCAAAAGAAAAATTTGTTTTTGTGGGAAAAATTTTATTTTCTGGATCAAATTCAGATACTTAGTTGGAAACCTAATCTATTGTATCCGAACTCATACAATCTTCTTTTCTTCCGATAGGTAGACTATACAATTTCCTGGCTCACATAAGCATTCATAGGAGTGGCTGTGGATTAATTGGCGGCGCAAAGAAAAGGTCGCAGCTTGGATACTACCGCGGAACTTTGAAGACGATATCAATTTGGGCACCTAATTACAGCGTTACTGACTGCGCTTGATGAAAAAGGCAACTTAAAAGAGATCTTAATTACGCCCGCTATACTATTGTTTTGAAGCTCAACTTTTCGCTTAGGATTAAACAGAGTGGCTGACACTTCGTGGCTTTTGAAATGGCTGCTATTCTTTCCAATTTTAGCGATTTTTCCTTTCCTCTTCTCCTGTGCGCACATGCTCAGGTACTTGTTTTTTATAAGTATTCCTTTCATGAGTGAAGCATGATAGGAGAGGTGGTGAACTAGTGTGTTTTTGCCACTTGGCTTTCAGTACCATTATTTGCGGCGATCACTTTCTAAAAGCTTCAATTGAATGTTGAGTAATGGACACCAGTTATTTTTTTGAAATTTCACTGGTGAATTTTATGTACTCTGACTGTTCATACAACAATTCAAACATTTGTTTATTTCTTCTTATGTAGAACAGATAATAAAGAAGTCACCTCCTATTCAAAATGGAATAAGGCCGGTGATCGAGAACTGAAGCTAAATATAAAAGCGACGACAACACGAGCTACTAATCATCGATCCTTGGTCAACTTTTCAAGCTGTGCGAAACATTTTGCCGTCTAAAGATTGTACCATAAGCAGTGCTGTAGGAGCGTCATTAGTTGTTAGTTTCGACAGGTCATACGTATTTGTTTTTTGTCCACTTTCTACAAATAACCATTTTCTATAAATAACTCAAAACCGACTTGCTACACGATCATTTGATACGTCAGTATAAAGCGAGATAGCATCGAATGACTCCATTGCATTTGCGCTATTTCGTTGCTCGCATCGTATGTGATCCACTGATATTTCGGTATTGAGTAGACAGGTTGCTACAAATTTTAGCAGCTGAGTAAGGAGGAGTCTGCTTTACTTAATGATGATGGAAAAATGGTTCGAACTGTTAAATAGACAGTCGGAGTGTATAATTTTACGAGCTAAAATTCAAACGGGAGCAGGCTTCCACTCTTAAATTTCAGGCAAAGTTCAGAAACAATACTTCGAGAAAGTGGCTATAACATGTTAATATCGAAAACCAAGAAACAAAAATATACTGATGAGAACAATGCTTGAATTTGAGCAAGATATATTCAACATCATGTAAGGCACGCAAGGATGAATACATTGGCGAAACGGTTAGACCACTTTGTGTTCTCAAAAATATACATCTAGATGGTCAATTCACAATTTGACCAAGTTTTCCTCGTCATACCTATAAGGTACATAACACGACGTAAATGATTTTGAAGTGGCTGTTATGATACTAACACAGAAGTCAAGAAAATTAACTCGCAAAGCTTCTAAAGAATTTTGGATATGTTTTGAAAATGTGAACAGAATCGTAGGGACAAATGCCCGCACTATCACGCGAGATCTGATGCATTTCTTCCGTTTGATCATTTGATGTGATTCAGAGGGTGAGTTCAACTATGGTTGATAAATTACCGATTTATACGAGTAGTTTTAGATGGCATACGTCCAAGCTCTGAAGAAGACGAATTAGTCAAAGTCACCAAACGGCACAACTACACGAACTACAATAGCGACAACGACAAACACCAACCGCACGATAGCTGAACAGGGATAGTACTTGAGATTTACATCCCTGCGGCTTTAACTGGCTTTCACTTAATAAAAATGCCAAAATATAGAGAAACAAACAGCTTCGACAAATACGATTAGTCCTGTTTTCGAATAGTGATTCTATCACGATGTAATTTTGATAAAAGCGATCCCTCAGAAAATCCCTCTCCATAGCATCTACTGCTTTTTAAAACCTTGCAATAAACATTCAATAAAATTTTCTAAAAATGTCTAAAGCCTTAGCGTAATTTGGGACGCCAGAGCCAGAAAAGTGGTGATAGCACAATGTCATTGTACGTTGTGCAGTCGCCACATACGCCTCCCTCCTTCCTACAGTGCAGGGTTTAATGTGCGACGTTGACCAGTTACGAGGAGGGCGAGACCTCCGAAACACGTGTATGGCTCTGGCGTACCAACCTCGCTAAGACTTTGAACATTCTTAAAAATTAATCCCTTTACACGTTGGACTCTAAATGAAGGATTCGTCGCATATATACACTTGACACCGTGAAGTGTTGTAGTGTAATTACAAATCTGCTACCAAAGAAAAAATTGAAAAAAATTAACCCTATCAAAGCGAATGAGTTTTTGACTAATCAAAATTTAGCTTTCCCTCCTTTGCTAGCGACGAGTCTCACTCAGATTCCTTCTATTTCGTCCGGCTCTAACCTTCTCGTTTGCTTCTTGTTTGGTCAGACGATTACCGTCTATCGGCCGAAGTCCACTGGACCTGTCCTGTAGTTCATCCTAATAGCTACCAACAATGAAATCTTTGAATCTTACCTATTCCAGCTATCTAAGTTGTCTAATATTTGGCAGCATATTTGGCTCAGGAGAATGAAAAAAAATGTCGGAGAGGTTTTGCTGTTGTTCTATCTTTTTCTTCTTCATTTACACATCGCAAAGACCTTCTTGGGTCTTTTATTTAGAAATTACTTTGCCGTTCTCTGAATCTCAAAATTTACTCCTTAGTCACTACTTGTTCTTCGTATTTGACAGGTGAAAAGAGGCAGTTAGCATCCACAGTCACCGGTATTTCTTATGACATCCCTTCCAAATTAGAGTGGATTGTATCTACAAATGCAGCGCGTAATCAATAGTATTATTGTCCGAATATTATTTCAATTTGTCTTCAACTTGAGGCTAATATTACATGTTGAAGGATAAAGTTGTTAGCACTGATCAGTCCTTGAGGAATACACGATACATACGTTTCCATAGTTTAGCTTCGTTTGAGGTGATTGAATGCATTTCTGGCCTTTACAGTGGCTTACAATGGTCTACCAATGTATAAACTCAGTGCTGCTTATCCTCTCAAAAAAGTGTGGTACCAAATTTGTCGACCCCAGAGGAATGGAAGACTCGGTGAACCATGAACGCGAGATCAAATCGTCGACCTCGTGTGCGACGCAAAGCACCTCTAACGTGTCTATTATCAATAAATTTCTCAATACTGCATATATTGGTTGTCTTACCTACAAAGCGCAGAATATATCCAACCCTCTCATGTGGAAAACTGCTACAAACCTACTTCCAGAAGTTCTACTAAATCCAATTCACAAAGCCGATTGAACACATGGATCGCTAACTTGAAATTCATCCCGACCGCCGGAATATGTGACATTATATTGATCGACTTTCTAGTAAAAGTAGAACTTATTCTCACTTTTGGCTACTCCGGTGGAAACTGAAATCAGTGGCTACCTCATTTAACCTTATTTAATCTCCGAAAATGTGCTCCAACTTTCATTAGCTTGTTAACCTGTGGACATACGTTGATAGATTATCATAGATAACATGTAGACACTAATTTTCTAATGTAGGGTGCATAAACAAAACGTAAATAAATAGTCATAACGTAATTATGTGAAATCAATCGTCACACACACTTTGCTCTTTTTGTAACGATTTTGGATGACAGATAATTCTGAGTAAATTTCACCATTTTCTTGAAAATTTCACTATGTTCGCTATGCATTCATCACTTTTGAATAGTAGAACTCTAAACTCAACTCCATTCCAGAACTGACATTATCGTAGACATTACAGATTCCATAGAATTACTATAAAGGAGTATAGCTATGGGTATTTCCTTAAGGATATCCGCTGATCAAAATGAGCAGAAGGATAGATGTTGTTGTAAACTGATTCACATTAAGGTGACAACTCTACGTGAGCTAATTTGATTTAGAAAACCTCTCTTTTGCCTAAGCAAGCTTTTCTTACAGAAGTGTGCTTATGGAGTGGCCATATTCTATGCCATGATTATTCTGTCAAATTT